GGAGGCGGTGGTGCAGGGGAGGCGAGGGCACCTGAGACACTGGGCCTCACACGGACGGTGCACGTCCAGCGGCACCAGCGGGACGTGGAGCTGGCTGGGTCCCCTCCCTCGGGGTCCTGCCTGTCTGTACCGAGGGCCTCGCTCTCTGGTGGGGGCCCTGGGATCACGGGGTTCAGGTCGCCTCAGTTTCCTCAGTGGTGCCCAGAGATGCTTGTTAGGGGTGCCGCTGGCAAAGAAAAAAAAGTGAAAATTGCCTACCTTTTTCCTCCAAAGTGACTTTTTAAAAAATCAGGTGCCTATACCTGGGTAAGGATTTCTGGTCCCCAAAATTAACCAATCAGATGCAACCTCATTATGCGACATGGCCAACAAAGACGCAACTCCGTTATATCACCTACATACAGGGTGTCCCCCCCCCCCCCCCAAATCTATACGCACTTTAGCAGCTGACAGCTCCAGGACTGGAGTCAGACTCCAGAACGGCCAGCAGGCGTCGCCACCGGCTCATCTGCTCCACCAAGTTAGCAGGTTGGATTTCTGGGCGTCAGGGAGTGAGTGCACCTCCGAGGACGGGAACCAAAGACAGAGGAGTGGCCGCTCCCCCGGCCGCAGTGTCCAGGTGTGGACGTGGCTGAGGTGACTGACTGGGTTTCAGAGCAAAGTCAGGTGGAAGGTGCGGCCGGAAGCCCTTGCCCGTCAATAGTCAGCTCTGTGTCCCCTGCTGACCACTGGTGGTCACGGCCGGAGCCCCAGATTGTCTTTGGAATGTTCGTGCTCACGTGAAGGCCCCGCATGCCTGGGTATTAAGGTTTGATTTTCTCCTGTTAACCCAGTGGTTCTCAACCTCGGCTGCACATTAGAATCACCGGGGAATCTTTTTAAAATCCTGATTTCTGGGCCTCATCCTCCGGAAATTCCGTTTCTTTGTGATGGGCTGGGGCCACAACATTAGTCACAAAGAAACAGGATTTCCGGAGGATGAGGCCCAGAAATCAGGATTTTAAAAAGATTCCCCGGTGCTTCTAATGTGCAGCCGAGGTTGAGAACCACTGGGTTAACAGGAGAAAATCAAACCTTAATACCCAGGCATGCGGGGCCTTCACGTGAGCACGAACATTCCAAAGACAACGAGACAGCACAGGGGACATTCTTGGACGAAGGAGAAAGCGGGGGGCGGGGGGGTGTCTTCGCTGTCAGAACTGGGAGCGGGTGATTGGCAGGTGGTCGAGGGTGAGGAACACACAGAGTAGGACAAGCGTGTCAGACTCGCAGGCGAGCACGGGCCAAGCAAACAAGGTGTACGTGGATGTGGCCACAAAACACAAAAGCTTCCATTTTCATAGAAACGTAGGGTTACTTCGACGGAGACATGCTGAATACAAAGGGCTGAGATAGATGAGTCATCGTTCACATAAAATAATAGGACGTTTTAATAAAAATCAATATTTTTTCTTGAACTTACCAGACACTGAATAACTGCACAAATTAATAAGCGTCACGCAAATAAACCTGTTTTTCTTGTTCCCCGAAAGCAAAATATTTCCTGTTGCACACACCAAACAAGTCAGTCCAAGACTGATGACATGGCCATCGGCTGCTAGAACATTCGCTGCTGGTATTAGCGGAGAGAAATGGTGCGCTTGCGGGTAAGGGAAATGAATGCAACACGATGATAGTCATCAGTCATTAGCAGACGTCGTAGTTCGTTATTAATAATTACGTATAACAGGATATTGTAAAAATTAAGTTACAAAACTTTTATTAAAATGTTTCTTACATACCGTTATATTGGCTGGGCCGCAAAAATATTCCTTGTGGGCCGCGTGTGGCCCGCAGGCCGCGAGTTTGATGTGCTTGGCGTAGGGAGTTTCTTGCCAGGCAGCTCAGAGCCCAGGGGACACACACATCTCGCTAACAGGCCTGGAGCCCCGGACCAGAGCCCGGGGAAGGGCTCCGGGTGGCGATGTTCACCCTTCAGCTCACGGCCCACGTAAGCTAACGGCTAACATTCTGCATTTTTTGCTGATCTGACAAAAAGTAGTTATAATCTTAATAGATTTAATACCAAAAAAAAAAGTAATTGCCTACGCTTTTTGTTACAAAGTGACTTTTTAAAAAAATCAGGTGCCGCCCAGCCGGCGTGGCTCAGTGACTGAGCGTTGACCTATGAGCCAGGAGGTCACGGTTCAATTCCTGGTCGGGGCACATGCCTGGGTTGCAGGCTTGATCCCCAGTAGGGGGCGAGCAGGAGGCAGCCGATCAGTGATTCTCTCTCATCATTGATGTTTCTATATCTCCCTTTCCCTTCCTCTGTGAAATCAATAAAAAATATATTTTAAAAAAATCACGCAAAAATTTCTGGTACCAAAAATGAACCAATCAGAGGCAACCTTGTTATGTGACGTGACCTGTATACATGTTGTCCCCCCAAATCTATACACACTTGAACAGCTGACAGCTCAGTCTTGAGGATGGGATGCATGTTCGTAAACACTGCCTTTACGATTGTTCAGTGTGTGCACACAGTCTGGGGGACGCCCTACGCTTATGGCGCGAGACCGGCCTTCACGCTGGACGGCTGATGGTTAGCTGTTGTCCTTTTTTATTTGACAATCGCAGGGGGAGAGGGCGGTGCCCCGACGGAATCGGCAGGCCTGGCCTGTGTTCACATCCTCGGGGCACACCAGGGTGCCGCGGCACACGGGGCTGAAGACCCCTGCCCGGGGTGCTGAGGCCGAGGCTCCCTCCTGAGGCAGGTTTCTCTGAGCCTCTCGGGCAGGAAGGCGGGAGGGTCAGTCTCCTAATAAACAGTTACCGTCAATATCCCCAAGGGCAGCCTCGGCTGTGCTCCGGTTCCTCCCGCTGAACGCTGAACGGCCGGGCCTGTGCCCACGTGACTTCCAGCCGCTGCGGGTCCGAGGACGAGGCGGAGGTGAGGCGC